TGGTAATTATGACATAGTCGAGGGACCATTTTGGTTATTAACTCTTTTATAATTAATGTTTTATGTCATTTTTTTTTACTCGAGTTTTGATCAAATCTAATAATAATAATAATAAAATTAATCTACCGATATCGCATTAGAAAGACCCTGTGTGACGGATTCAACCATAGAAAGACCCTGTGCGGCGAATTCAACCAAGATGGTGTTAGCAAAAATCGAGTTCATGATCTTCTGGTACAAGAATTATGCTCCACCCTTCTAGCTCACCTATTTCATAATTTATGCTTACAAGGCTGAAGTTTGTGAACAATAGTCCGGGATCGAGTCTCACCGGAGGCAGTATTGGAGAAACCTCTCAAAGTGAGGGGGTTCCTTGTGCACAGTAAGCAAAGGTCTAACCGCTATGTTCAACTGAGTTATCATGATTTACATCCTCCCAGATGCTCTGTCGGGTCGGAACGTGCGGTACCTTGAAGTTGGGAATTCAACCTTTTTGGGACTTTAATGGTTTATTAATTCTTATTTCGTATGTATTTATTATATGTTATGGTCATAATAAATTATATATTCATCAATAGGAAAAAAATTAAGAAATATCCAAAAATAATTTTCTTTTCCAGATATTATGTACAAAATAACAAATCTAACACTACATTTTGGTTGGGAATCTGCACTCCGCTATATAAGACTATTTCAATTGGTAAGTACATCATTATCATGAATTCGGTCAAAGTCTCACTTAAATATTATTTAAAGTCAATACATATTGAGATTGACTTGATTAAACAATTAATATGAATGTTTGATAATTAATTAGTTTTGTGTAACAATTTATTGCTTAAAATATTAAAATTCAAATAGCTGCTCAAAACGGCTTTTTAAGAAAATTATTTTGTATATAATCAGTTATCAGCTAACAATTAATTTATCAAACACTTTTCTACAATCAGCTAACAGTTTTCAACTAATTAATAGCTATTTATTAAACAGTCCTATATATAGATGACAAATTAAAATAGCTAGAAAAAAAGGGTTGATACAAGTTGCATATATATGTCATTGTGGGGCACAATGAAATAAAAAAAGGATTGTGTGAAAATGAGGATTTCAGAAACCAACATTGCCTCATCACGTGACTAGGGTGGATGCCACCACACTCCTTAGCCGCTGCACCAGATAGACAATGATATGATGATTCATGATGTAATAGCAAAATCAATAATTGGGGCCATTCATTTATGAGGTCAAAGACTTTAATTTTGTTAATTAAGAGTCCAATAGGGTTCCATGGATTGATTTTGCCTACTTCCATTTAGGTTGGACTTGAAAATATGGGTTGTTTTTTTGGGAATACTTAAGTCTAGACATAATTATAGATCAATTTTATAAGATAGATTGATTTGTTCAATAATTCAAATATAGCTGCTACAACTAATTAAGTTATCTAGGAGGTTACTGTTGCGTAGTGCTCGGTCAATTAGGGGTTGTCGAGAAGACTGATGGTTAGATCTACTCGACTACTTGTATTAGGTTGTTTAGATTACTAAGTAAATAATGTCTGTTGCTCCAACAGATTAGCTAGACGTTTTAGCTTCCTATAGACACAATGCAATGTCTGACCGAATTGCACTACTGCATAACCGATATTGTTATCCTATAAATCAGAGCATACCACACTAAACGTGTTGTCATGGCCTTAGACGATGTAGACTCAAGTAGTAAATGCTACTCTTGGGAACATTGATACATCGACTTTCAAGCATCTCGTAGTTAAAAGTGCAATATCTCTTGTGTTTCTAAGGCACCTTCTACTCCATACAATTACTTATAATAGCTTTAGCATTGTAAGTTAATTACGATTATTTGACCACTCAGGACAAACTAAGCTCTCGATTACTTTGTATTTGTTAAACAATATTAAAAAAATTCTCTTTGTCTGATAACATAGTATAATTCTTCTAAATCATATCCTTACACCTCTATCAATTAGCTTTGATTATTATTATTATTATATTATTTTATTTTATTTTATTTTTAAATTAGAATCAAAGCATACCATTTCATTTATATTCTAAGATTTTAAGAATATAAACTAGGAATACCACCCTAATTTTTATTCTCAATTAGAAATTGAACCGTTGGTACTATTTCAATTCTAGTCCAATTCCTACCATACATATGTTTGGGTCAAACCAAACTATTGTCACCACCATGCCACATCCCCTTTCATCCTTAATCAAAGGTTAAGAGTTCAGTTCTTGACTTTGGGTATAAAGTAGTCTTAAAATTTTAGGCCAACTGTCCCACTCAAAAGAGGTGTCCAACTACAATTCAGTGAGGAGATTAGTCATTGTTAATAGATATATTACATGCAAGCAAACTTACCCGGGAAAACGGAGCAAGGAAGTGCAGAGCGGACCCGGGGTCCCAAGATTGAGCCCTGTGCTCGGCCCAAGGCACCTCGGCCATATTTGAGCTCGGCACGGCTGATCCGCGGACCCGATCTTAATTACCTGAGCCCAGTCAGCGCAGATATCCAACCGACCCTCCATTTTAGGGGGCGGTTGGGGGGAGGGGGTTTGGTTTGTATAAAAAACCTCCACTTTGTCTCATTAAGACACGTTCAATATTGTTGTCCTAAAAGTATCTTTTTAATAGCCTATTAATCGTTATCTAATACAATATACGGTTCTCGCGACCTACAACATCGTTTTACCTATTCATTTCCTATTTACGTTCTTAATCGGGTTTAGTAATTCGAGTTCTCCCGAATTAATTAAATCCATCACTGTGTTTGACCATGAAAACCAGGCGTTTGGTTGGAGAGGGGGAATTACGTGGGAAAGGAATTGCAATTCCATGGGAGATGAATTACTGGGAATAAAGTGGGAATTTAAATTCCAGTGTTTGGTTCACAGGAATAGAATTACTGGGAATTTCAATTCCAATGTTTGGTATACATAGGAATTGAAAGGGAATAAGTAGTATAAAGTCAAAAATGTTCATTGTTATTGTTAGACATTAATTTTAAGTTAAAAAGGGATGAGTAATTTTGACTCATCGGTATCTTTTTTTCTTCCTAAAATCTCAGGAATTAAAATCCCAAGGAGACATGGGATTTTAATTCCATGAAAATGGGGGAATTACAATTCCTTTCAACTAAACAACTGAGTTTTGTGACCTTTGGAATTAGATGGAGATTAAATGGGAAGGGAATTTAAATTTCCTTCAACCAAACGCCCTGTGAGTACACCAAAAAAAAAAAAAATGCCACACATACACCCTTTGTCCAATCTATATAAATTCAATATATTTATCACTTCAGTTCATTATTTTGCAGTTGAAAATATATATTGTAAGATTCAAATCTTTATAATATTACGTTTATAATAAATAACTTACTTTTCAGTTGAAATGATGATTACACCGCTATAAATAAGAAAATTTCAAATTCAAACATATCAATTAAGTTAACAAACGTAATTAAAACACAACTACCTAAAAACAATTGTATTTAGTGAACAACTTCATTATTTCTATGTATAAAAAGTATGTATTTCACTTTCTTGATTACATGTATCTGTTAAATACTTAATTAATTATTGTAATAACAGTTAAATTATATTTTATGTCATTAAATTTTTTCTAGACAAAAGTACAATACACAGCATGAAATATTGAAATCCCACCATATTAGGAAAAAAACCCAGAAAAATCTAGGGAGCTTATTGTGACGTTGAAGTGGTGATTATTAGGATCATTCATCGTACTATATTTAGTCAGTAACAGTTAACGTTGTTGTGTACCATAAGAAGTACATTCGATGATGATCTTTGTTGATGATACCTACTAACAATCTGTACAAATATTGTTTTCCATTTAATTCATTCTGTCCTTTCCACAGTCTTATCATTATCCAACCTGCCATCTCTACTACACCAAATTTCTTTAATTTCTCTTTTCGTTTTTTTATAAAGCGAAAACTTGTAATCTTTAGTTAAAGAAATCACATTAAAAAAAATATTATACGACATATTTGACTGGGAGAGTGTTGGTAAGAATTGAACTCGTAACTTTTTGATCTGAGTCATACTCTACTCACTCGGTTACTATTATTTTTTTTTTTTCTAAATATGGAATGTGACAAAAATAGAGAGAAAAAATTGAAAATGACTTTATATATATATATATATATATATATATATATATATATATATATATATATATATATATATATATATAAAGTTTTTGATGCATTCAATGAAAAGGAAAAGAAGCCATGAAAATGCAAGAAAAAAACCCTAAAAATTGGAACATCTTTTTATAGGATCTAATTCGATATATCAAATTATAAGGATCTAGGATGCAGGTAATTAAATGAGATTGCGGAATTTAAGTTTATGTTTATATTATTTGAAAAGATGTAACTTTATGATGAATTAATAGACTTAAATAATAAATTAACCCTAAAAAAATTTATAATTTAAAATACTTAGAGTTATTTTGCTCAAAACGATGTGAGTAAAATAATTAATAATCCATTTAAAAAAATGAAACAATAACTAATCGGTCAATTAGACAACCTAATAGATGCCTAAGTGGTCTAGTCGGTGCCTAGGAGACATAGTCAGTACTTAAGAAGCTTAGGCGGTCAACGCATAAGAGGCCTAACGATCACCTAGACCACTAATCGGTGCATAAACAAGATTTTTGCAATACTCACTCAGTGCCTAAGTGCGTGCATATTATGTGCGTGAAAGATTTTATTGAGTGAAAAATATTATAAGCACAATTAAAAAAGAATTATTATTATTATAAAACTATAGATAGATTTTGGAGGTATAATACAAGTTAATTGATAAGAAAAACCGGCGGCCCGACCAATCGTAGGAAGATCTAACGGCTGAGAAATCGTATGCCACCGTCTTATCGTAGGGCTGTTAATAGAATAGTGTGATTAAAGGGCTACAGGGCCCTTCTCTCTCTCATAAATCCTCTACAGCCTCCATCCTCATTCTCCCCCTCTCTCTAACTGCTCCAGATTCACCTATACGTATACTATATCTATATCTATATATCTCTTCTTCATCTATACACACACACACACATATATATATATACCTTTCTTGTTTATATATAATTATATATATATATATAACATACAGGGTATATAATAATATAAGCTTAATTCCTGGGTTCTGTGCGATAGAGAGAAAATGGAAATGAATAATGGTTCCGAATCGCAGCCGGAGAACAAGGCAGCAAAGGTACAGACAGAGCAGCATAAGCCGGCGCCGTTGCCGGCGGTGGCGGCGGTTCCGGTGGCCGCAGCACAGCAGCAGCCGTGGGTGCCGATGCAGTACCCTCCGCCGCAGCCGGCCATGGTAATGCAGCACCAGTTCATGCCGGCGGCGCAGCCTTACCCGCCTCATTACATGCCGTTCCAGCACCCCCACCACCACCACCCCATCTCGCCCACGGCGCAGGTGGCTCAGCCGCCCCTGCGCCACCACCAGCAGGGCGGCGGCGGTGGAGGATCCAACGGTGAAAACAGAACGATCTGGGTGGGCGACCTCCACCATTGGATGGACGAGGATTATCTCCGCAACTGCTTCTCTACCACCGGAGAGGTCTAACTTTGATTCTCATTTTCTTTTATCTCTCCTGCATTATTTATATATACATTTAATTTATTAATCACTGTATTTAATTGTGCGGTATATTCGTATATAAATTAATTATGTTGGCTGCGAATCTGGGTGTTCATTAATACTAGTGATTGATCTGAAAATTCTCAAACTTTTTCCCAGTAGTTATCTGGTATTTGGGAATTAATTACCATAATTAAGAACAGGAAAAACAATTAATTAGCCTCATTTGGTTTCTGGGAGGTAGATTGTGGGGCCTACAGAGGATCGACCCCGATAGCCGTGTGTTGTAGGCTCTTTGTGGGCACAGATACTGGTCCTCCATCTAATGGGTCACTGAGTCACTGGTCATCCCTCTTAATGGACCGTTGGGTCACTCTTAATGGACCGTTGGGTCACTATGATTTACCGCTCCACTATCTTGTCGTGTCAAGGTGTGGTTGTGGCCTGTGGGCAAGGAAAAACAATTAATCAAGTATATTATGCATATATATATATATATATATATATATATATATATATATATATATATATATATATATATATATATATATAACTCATAAAGTTACCATCTTTTCTTGAAAAGCATAAACTTTAGCCTGCATCAGAGCAATTTGATGATGGGAAGTGTGATAGTTTCACCTCACTTCATTGCATACATAATGGCAATCTTTCTTGAATATATTTGCAAGCTAAAAGATTCTGTTCTTTCACTATTTTGTTTCCTTAAAAGGAAAGAAAAAAGATTCTGTTTTCTCCATGCATAATGTAATACATGTTCATAACAAAGTTTGAGTCTTTCAGAGTATGTTTGATATTGTCTTGTGCCTTCTCTTCTAAAAAGTATCGTTTTTCAGTAGACGGGAGTGATTACGAGGTTGATTTCAGTAATTTGAGATTGTAAATCGTTTCACTTACTCCCTGCAGATTTTGGTTTACATTTATGCTTTTTGAATGGTTGTGTTTATTGAGGAGATTTGATGAGTACAGTAGTTAGTTCTTTAAGAAACAAGCTAGAAATACGGTATCTATCATGGTAAGATTGTAGTTTTGATAAACGGGAGATAGCAATCGTTATCTTTCTTGTGCAACCAAGTATGTTAGAGCATAAACTTTCTCTTGAGAAAAGAAAAAATGCGGAATTTTATTGTTGTCGATCTTTGACAACTATATATGGCCCTGTTTGGTAAAATAGCTGTTAGTTGTTAGCTGATTGTGTTAATTAGAGGGTATAAATAGTTCATAACATTAGCTGATTGTAGAAAAGTGTTTGGTAAATTATAATTCTTGCTGACATTGAAAGTAATCATTTGAATGCAGGTTACCTCGTTGAAGGTCATTCGAAACAAGCAGACTGGTTTCTCGGAGGGGTATGGTTTTGTGGAGTTCCTTTCACACGCTGCTGCAGAGAAAGTTCTGCAATCGTATGGTTGCATGGTGATGCCTAATACGGAGCAACATTTCCGTTTGAATTGGGCGACATTTAGCATGGGCGAGAAGCGTGCGAATAACGGGTCTGATCTTTCCATCTTTGTAGGAGATTTAGCTGCTGATGTTACTGACACCTTACTGCTCGATACGTTCTCTAGTAAATATCCCTCTGTTAAAGCTGCTAAAGTAGTCATCGATGCCAATACCGGTCGGTCTAAGGGTTACGGGTTTGTAAGGTTTGGAGACGATAATGAGAGATCGCAGGCCATGACTGAAATGAATGGTGTGTATTGTTCGAGCAGGCCTATGAGAATCGGTGCAGCTACTCCACGGAAATCATCGGGATATCAACTGCAACACGGTGCACAAGGTAGGTTGTTTATTACTCTGCATTATTATTAGTATTATCATCGTTATTGAGTAAATTTATGTTTCTTCCCTATAGTGGCATGGTTATAAGTGACATACTAGATTTTACGTTTCTTTCCCTATATCGGTGAAATTGTTAAGCTGAATAGGAAATGGCCATATATCTACTAAGTCATTAAGTCACCGTGATTTACATCCTGATCACTACCAATTTGCCTATAGTTGGCCCCGTCTGCTGAGTCATTGAGTCACCGTGATTTACATTCTCCCAAATGCTCTGTCGGGCCGGGGTATGGGGGCCCTTGGGGTTGGGGATTCAACCTTTTGGGTGAAGGAAACGGGCATATCTTGGATTGGTTCTTAGACTTCTTGTAATTGGAAAAGCTACACCGCCAATTAATGCACGATCCTAATGACCTCTCATTGCTTGATTTCTTAATGAAGTAGATCTTCTTTACTATTTTGATATGATTTAATTTGTATTCCCATTCTTTACAAGATATTGGATTTGTCATTCGTTATTTATGAATTCCGAAGTTTGATTTCACAGTATATTTTGCTAGTGATCTGGTATGAGAACATATATCACACCGGTTTTCCTGCATTGCAAGCTTGTTTTCCTGACACAATTGTTCAGATCGTCATCTCGACCTTATTTTCTCTGAATTACAGACATTCAGACATTTATGGTAGTCGCCTCGTGACTCGAATTTTGTTGAAACTGATACTCACTTTTAAAAATGGTTGTGGTAGGTGGATACGTGAATGGTTCTCCAGCCCGTGGATCACAATCTGATGGAGATTCTACTAATACGACAGTTCGTGGCTTAGCTTCTTATGTGCTTTTATTTCTTCTTGTTTTTTTGGTCACTTTTTGGGTAATAATTTGCCATTGCAGATATTTGTTGGGGGCCTCGACCCAAATGTTAGCGATGAAGATCTCAGGCAGCCTTTCTTACAATATGGCGAAGTAGTTTCAGTTAAAATTCCAGTTGGGAAAGGATGTGGATTCGTGCAATTTGCCAACAGGTGTGTTTTTGTCTATCCCGATTAATTAACTGTCAGTTTTCTGGCTTAAAGTATATTAGTAACAAGTATCGTTTCGCAGAAATGATGCTGAAGAAGCATTGGAGAAGCTGAAAGGTCTCGTGATTGGAAAACAGACAGTTCGCCTTTCTTGGGGGCGAAATCCAGCGAACAGACAGGTTTGTCGATCTCCCCACTTTTCTTCTGTGGTCTTACGTTTTAACCAATGTTGAAAAAATCACTAGGTGCCTGGGGACCGCCTAGAGTGCCTAGGCTGGCGCCTAGGAGGCCGACCGCCTAGCGCCTAGGCGCCGATTAATCGGGCCTATCGGCGCCTAGGCCCGATTTTTGCAACACTGGTTTTAACAGCTCTCGATCAGGGACTATTAATTGATGATTTACATTCCCCTGAACTATTTTACAGTCGAGATCTGATTTCGTGACCCCGTGGACTGGTCCATATTACGGGGGACACTTCTATGATGGTTATGGTTACGCTTTCCAAGTGCCCCATGACCCGAACATGTATGCTGCTGCAACGACATATGGTGCTTATCCAATGTATGGCGCCCACCAGCCACAAGTAAGCTGAACCTAACGCCTGCACGGGAGCTTCAAAAGGACTGGCTATTGTGCTCCGATCTTCTTGATTCCAGAATCGCGACCACCGGGCAATGTGAGCGACATCTTTAGTTATATCTCTACCAAAAAAAAAAGGAGCTGGAACTGAGTTTTGACATGAACATCTATCCATGAGAAGTAGTTCGATCTATATCTAGCGAAATCAAATCGTATAATCAAACATTGACTATGAAGTTTGGACAGTTATTTTTCATTGAAAATAAATGAATGATTTTGAAACCACCATTTTCCATGGCTCCATGAAGCAAATGGTGCATGCATGGCATGTGTTGAGCTGTGCTGTGCAGAAAAAGGTTAACATCTTTTCCTCTTCTTCTGTCATTATTCACCACTGCAGTTATTGGGAGTGCATGTTTGATTGTGAAATATGCATGTTTTCTGTCATCTCTTCATCACATGCATTGCCCCGCGGGCTAGCTTAGTTAGTTCAATCAATCACCTTAAAGTCTCACTTTAACTACAGTGTAGGGTTTGAGTTTTACTAGGAATCTAGGTGGTCATTGGAAGACTTTAACATATCAAATGAGATGAAGACCCTTGCATAGATCAGAAAACTTAGAGGGTCATTGGGAGACCTTGACCGATCAGATGAGATGAAAACCCTGTTATACAGAGTGTACAGTCAACATATCATATCAGATGTGATGAAGATCCTTTCATAGAAAACTTAGAGAGTCATTGAGAGAAAGACCCTTTCTAAATTTAGAAGGTTATTGAGAGACCTTGATCGATCAGATGAGATGAAAATCCCATTATACAGAGTGTACAGTCAACATATCATATCAGATGTGATGAAGGGTGAGGACTCTTGCATAGAAAACTTAGAGGGTCATTGAGAGATCTTGATTGATCAGATGAGATGAAAATCTTATTGTGCAGAGTGTACAGTCAACATATCATATCAGATGTGATGAAGAGTGAGGACTCTTGCATAGAAAACTTAGAGGGTCATTGAGAGATCTTGATTGATCAGATGAGATGAAAATCTTATTGTGCAGAGTGTACAGTCAAGAGTACGTGGAACCTGAAATTATTTGTTTTTATGATCCTCTTTAACTGTGGTTTGGGGTCTATTTTTGTGCATGCATGGTGCCAAGTGCCAAAAGTGATCCATGGGAATACAGGTATGCAGGGACCATTACTCTTTTGTAAACTAGTTCACATTGTTTCATCACTGTCATCTTAATTGGACCAATTATTTGTAGCTCCGCCACAAATCCAGTTATTTTTAAGCTCACAAGTTTGATACACTCTCAAGTGGTCAAGACCACTTTTAATGACTGATTGTATTAGTCTGGTCTCTTTATGTTTTTCTGTAGTCATTTCATGTTTCCCTCAATTGTGTCGGAGAAAAAAAAATGTTTTTCTGTAATCATTTTATGTTTCTCTCAATTGTGTCGGAGAAAAAAAAAATTATATGAAACAAGATTGTACAATTCGATCTCTCTAGGTTTGTGGTTAAAAATGGTGAATAACTTGAAGTGACTCTAAGCCTTGAGAGTTCATAAAAATTATGTCCTAAATCTTGACTAAACCTTGTGTCTTTGGATGAGATGGCGTTCATAGTGCACCAACCTGTGGTCAGATCAGGAAAAAAAAAAAAAAAACCATCAAATGCTCGTTTATTATAAATGCAGACTACTCCAAGGTGGACAGTGCAATATTTGTAAATAATAAAAATACTCATTTTATTAAATCATACTCATTTTTACTTATACTAATCATTATATTTATTTTGAGAAATGGCATTTTTTTCTCCTTAAATTATATGCTTATAACACTTTTCTCTCTAAATTATTCATATATTTACAAAAGTGTTGTAAAAATTAGCCTAGGCACCAGGCACCCCTATGCCGAGGTGATTTCAACCCTAGGCTGCTTTTAGACAGATGACCGACTAACTGGGCCGACTTGGCCAAGTTGAACGCCTAACTCGGCCGAGTCGGGCCCCTAACTCTACCAAGTTGGTGCCCAATTCGGCCAAGTAGTTTTTTTTGTCTGCTCAACTACACCTCTGATCTTCTATATTTCTCTAGCCATGTACTTAACTAACCATCTAACATATATGCAGTTGACTAGTTTGGGGATTATAATAGTCTAACAACTCCTAGCCTTGAGTGGAAAAAATAGAGACGATATACTCGGATTACTCGACCGCCTAGGCGCTAGGCGCCCGACTAGCGCCTAGCGCCTTTTGCAACATTGATCCACTAGTCCCTTCAATTATTTTAAAAGTGGCGGGTTTTATCCTTGATATATTAAATGAACATTTTTACTGTTAAAATAAATTTTTCATTTATTTTTCTTCAACAAATTATTGTTTATATGTAGGGATGACCAGTGAACCGAACCGGACACTATAGCAACCGAATCGAAAGGTCCGGTTATGATTCAAAACCGTAACCTAATATTTGAGTTTCGGTTTATTAAAATAGCGAAGCAAAAAAATTAGATCCTGAACCGTGAACCGACGGTTCAAAATCAGAACAACTACTAGGAATTAGCTTAAAATTAGATTTATAATATTTGCAAATTGTGTATGTTCTTTTCGTACTTATTCTGATTCAATCACAACAACTACTAGCATTAGCTTAAAATTAGATTTATAATATTTGCAAATTGTGTATGTTCTTGTCGTATTTATTCTGACTCTCACATATAAGAATATACCGCGATCCGGTTCTAATTTTGAATCGTCAATTCACAGTTACGGAACCAGCTTGAACCACTGGTTCAAACTTTAAAAAAAAAAATTTAAATTCAACAATTAATGTATTTTTTTTCAATTCGGAACAGGCAATTCCAGTTCACAATTTTAATAAACTAAAACCTAAATTTTGAGTTCTTGTTCTAAATTGTAACCGGAACCTTTCGGTTTGATTGTTACAATGTCTGGCTCCACTTAAATCAAATTGTATTCATCCATACATATAAGCAATAATTTGTTGAAGATTTTCATTTAACATATCAATGAGAAAAACCGTCTCTACCTTTTAAAATAATTGAAGGGTTAATATGGATACATAAATAATTGAGAGAGAAAAAAATGCTATAAATATATAATTCAAGAAAAAAAAGTATCATTTTCCTTATTTATTCATCTCAAAAGGTTGATTCCCTATTTATTATCCAAATATATTGTATCATTTTGTTGTTATTGGACCACAAACAGAGCTATTAAGATTCAGATCTATTTATGGATTCTAAAGTTAGTTTTAATCATTCCTTTGACTAATGCTAATTATGTATAGTATTAGGTGAATGTTTGTTTTTTTCTTTTTTCTTTTTTAGTTTTTACTAAATAGCGAAGCATTATATTAAAACTATACAGAGTTATTTTTTATTTTTGTTCTAGATTTTTAAGTGGTTGTTCACTTTAAAGTTCTTTTTATCAGAATATTCATGTTTGGTTCTGGTATTATTGTGGCATGATCATTTTTGTCCTTTATCAATAAAAAAGTTTAAATATCGTTAAATACAATGACATTTCGGTCTTCAATTATGGATTTTTTAAAAAAAAGTGGGTCAACCTACTTTGTATAAACAAGATTAAAATATTTTTGTATTTAACGACATTTCAACGATTTTGTTGACGGGAGACTAAAAATGGTCTTGCGACAATAATACTAGGACTAAATAATGATATTTTGATTAAAAAATGACTAAAAATAAGTTGTCACTTATAAATATAGGACAAAAAATAAAATTAACTCAAACTAAAAATATTATTATTTTAAAATAATGTCTTACCATTTGTCTTACCGATCCTTATTCTCAATCCAATTACAGACTCTAAAGTCCAATTTCGACTATTTTTCAATGGTCAAAAATTTTAAGTGTTCGAAATTGTTGCCTCATCAACCTGATAAAGTTTTTTGTTTTTTTTTTTGTAAATGATAAAGCTTATTAGTAATAAGTAAAAACATTAAAAATAGGGAAAATGGCACTTTTTCTCCTGTGTTATATGCTTATAGCACTTTTTCCCCTGAGTTATTCATGCATTCACATTCGCCCCCTCAATTATTATAGAAGTGGCGGTTTTTCCCCCTGATAATATTAAATGGACATTTCTATCCTTAAAACAAATATTTTATTTATTTCTCTTCTTCACCAAATTATTGCTTATACGTAGGGATGACCACGGTTCGGTTCGAACTGAACCAAACACTATAGCAATCAAATTAAAAAATTTCGGTTATGATTCATAACATAACCCAATATTTGGGTTTCCGTTTATTAAAATCGTGAACTGGAAAAAAATGGATCCTAAACCGTGAACCGGAGGTTCAAATCGGAACAACTACTAGCAATAGCTTAAATTAGAATTATAACATTTGCAAATAGTGCATGTTTTTTTTCCGCATTTATATTGACTCTCACATATAAGTATATATAATCGCGATTTGAGTTTTATTTTGAACCGTCGGTTCACGATTTTGGATCCAATTTGAACGGTTGGTTCAAACTTTCTTTTAAATTTTTTTTTTTAAAAAAAAATATTCTAAATTTAACACTTAATGTATTTTATTTTTTCAAATCGTGGTTATAATTTGTTGGAGAAGAAAAATAAATGAAATATTTATTTTAAGGGTAAATATGTCCATTTAATATATCAGGGGGAAAAACTACCACTTAAATAATTTAGTGGGGAAAAGTGCTATAAGTATATAACAAAGGGGGAAAAAGTGCCATTTTCCCTTAAAAATATTGTATTTAACAGATGTAATAAGTGCCGACAGGACGAAATTAAAAAGCCAATTTTGCAAGATTTTTTCTAACATAGCATTGAGGAGATCTTAGTCTCTTAATTAGAACTATTTATAAGTGAGATTTGTAAACCTTTTTTCCCCTTTTTTTGGCATTTGTTGACTATAAATATATAAAATATGATTACAAGTATTGTGTGAGTTAGGCCTCTCACGTGAGGCATATAATACTTTATAGTTAAAATATAATATTTTTTTATGTACTCATAAAAAGTAATACATTTTGGGGGTGCAAGGCGTCGAGTTGTGCCTCTTCGTTGCCTTTTGGGTTTCTTTGTTTGGTTTGTTGTTCTTCGGTTCTTGTTTTTTTGACCTATTTTTTTTTAGATTGACAGGGAGGGGGATATTTTGAAAAGAAAAATGACTGCCCTACCGCTAGAGGGACCATCTTGCTCTCAAACGATCGTTCTCAATGGTCTCCTCCAAACTAGGAGGGCAATGCTCAAGCTCTCTCCCGTC